GAATTCAATAATTTTTTTTAGCTGTATTTTATATACCTCTTCTCACCAAACAATTTCAAAATCAAACAAAAGCTGATTTTAGACTTTTTTAAATGTCAAAAGTGACACCTCTGTATACTTTGTGCTTCAAACGATCACACTTTACGTACGACAAGTCTAATGAAAAAATAAAATGAAATTCCATCCGTATGACAAAAAAGAGAATAAAAGTCATATGATTTATATTTTTTGTGTTTACACGATTGCTACAAAACAATAACAAAGTAAGATGGAAACAGTTGTTTCACTTTTTTTGTATGTGTTTACATAAAAATACATCCCTGATCTAATGCGACTTGCTTGTTTTTTGAATCATTTCAAAAAATGAAGAGAGCCATAAGACTGTCAAATTTTTCATCCGTATTTTCTCTCAATGTGTGATGGTTTCATTACATATTGCGTTTAGACGATCCCATCCGATCTCTTCTACACAATATTTTGACAGATCATATTACTTGTGTGCTCGTGTGAAGGGGGCTTTAGACGATCCCATTCGATCTCTTCTACACAAATTTTGACAGATCCTATTACTTGTGTGCTCGTGTGAAGGGGGCATTTGATTGCCAACTCAAAAACCCGCTCTTAGGATTTATGATATTAATAATGTTAACTTGTGGGTTAATAATTTCTCATCAAACAATGGCCTTTTTCATCATCACCTCCGAATTTAATAAAACCAAATTCCACCAAATTAATGCTCCTTATATACCTTGTATTATGGCAAATTTTGCGGCTTATAACTTTCGTAGTTTTCGTAATATTGTAAAGATGGAATACCACTTCGACCGATATCTGCATCCATGAAGGTGCCGTGTTACAGTCTTTCGAAGTATATTGGAAATATTTTGAGGAACATTGTATCTCCCAAATACAATATACAAAATTCACTAGAATTAAGGCGAAAACTAGAAAGCGTCTCATTGGAAAATGACGATATTATGGTCTCCTTCGACGTGATATCATTATTCACTAATATACCGATTCACTTGGCTATAAGAAATATACTTGACAAATGGAAAACACTTAAGGAGCACACGGCAATACCAAGGCAAACATTTTCGAAAATTCTTCAGTTTTGTTTAACTGATAACAACTATTTCACTTTTGACAATAAATTTTACCATCAAACATATGGTATGCCAATGGGAAACCCGCTATCGCCAACAATTGCTAATATTGTACTTGACACATTACTTGACGATGTAATTGACGAATTAAGAGTGAATAATATAGGGATTAAGATTATCACAAAATACGTGGATGATTTGTTTGCGATTATAAGGAAATCGGACGAAGAGAGGATACTGAAAACAATGAACATGTATCACAGTAGAATACAATTCACAATGGAACGTGAGAGGAATATGTCAATACCATATCATTAAGGATAATGGGAAAATAAGGACAAATTGGTACACAAAACCCACATCATCAGGTAGAATGATTAACTTCAACTCTGCACAACCATTGAAAATGAAGATAAATACAGCGACGAACCTAATGGAAAGAGTATTACAGATAAGTGATGTTAGATACGGGGAAACCAATATTAACCGAATAAGGAAAATACTTGCAGGGAATAGTTACCCAGCATATATGACGGACAATTTAATCAACAAAGTTCTGAAAAATAAAAACCAGCAGAAAAAACAGAACACGGAGGAGATAGAAGTTTTTTACAGTGTACCATTTATTCCCAAACTAACAGAGACAAAAACAATGAAGAGCATGATCACAGGGAAAACAGCAACAATAGCTTACAAGTCAAATATGACACTGGGCAGCTATTTACAAACAACAAAACAAAAATTGACAAACTAAAGGCCCAAATAGACTACACAAGCGGCTTGACAAACATACCAATAATTTACGTTTGTGCAAGCCTATTGTGTAGTGTATGAGGGTGTTTCGTGTTTGTACAAATGCTTGCTGTTTGTTTGTACAAAAATTAAAAAATTTTGATTTTTACACAAACATATTGAATTTTTGTCAAACCATTTGTATGGTTTATATTCAATAATAAAAAATTTTTCAAAAAATTTACATTTCTAAGAAAAATTGACATCTGTATCTTTGAAAGTCCACAAAAACGTGAAAAAATCGGTGTTAGTACGAGCAATGTTTGTGTAATGTGTGTGCGAATGAAAAAAGTATGTTTGATAAGCCGCTTGTGTAGTCTATTTGGGCCTTAAAGAATGATAATGTGGTCTATGAGATAAAATGTGACGGTAATGAAAGGGAGAGTTGTAACATGGTTTACATTGGTACGACAAAGAGAATGTTAGGGACGAGATTTAATGAACACAAAACAGATATTGAAAAAGGAAAAATATCGACGGCATTATCTCTGCATGTAAAGGAATGTGATCATAAGATGGATTTTGATAATGTAAAGATATTGGACAGAGAACAAAAAGAGAACGAACGATACACTCTTGAAAGCTTAAGAATACAACTAAAAATACACAATACCATGAATACGAAAGAGGACAAGGATAACACAAAGCTGCAATATTCTGCTGCAATATTTAATTATTAAATCAGTTGAAGTTCTGTGATACTAGTATTAAGTTTGACTTACGGTATATGTTTGTGTTGTAATGATTAATTATTTATTTATTAATTTCTGTGTCGTGAAGTCCAGTTTTTAAAATAATAAGTTAATTGACAAACAATGTAAACAATAGAATTTCGTAAGTTAAACTGTTACATTTTAAGTTTTCAATGATTTATAATAAACGAATTTATATGTTTTGTCGTTAGAATTCGAAGATAAAAGGGAAACCCCTGGAGAAGTTTGAAACAAACAAACGAAACGTTGGGTAAATAATAAAAATTGAAAATGAAAATATTTTGATTTTTATTTATACATTTGGTAACAAATGTATAAATTAAGATTGGAATCTTAAAAACTGAAAATTGTCAACAACATTGGTCATAAATAAAAAACTAAAAAAAAGTAATAGTGTAAAGTTTAACATCTAAAAAATTAAAGAATCGTCACATCTAAAGAGTTAATAATATAATTTTTATTTTTGCACCATTTTTCTCGGCAAAAAGCATATTTGGATTATTCCCATAACAAAAAAATATTTTTTTTTGGAAAAAATTGCATTTTTGGATAATTCTAAATGCACTTTTGGAGCATTTTTAAAGTTTGAAATTAAACTCATTCTTCTGATTTTTCCTATAGAATCAATGATTAAAGCATGATTTCCAATCTATTCTTCAGTTTCTGCTTTGGAGAAAAAAAACGCAGATACGCAGATAAAGGAATTGGAATATTACAGCAATGAGAATACTGATACAAAAACCTTCTAAAATGGTATGATATCACAAAATTGGAAAACATTTAGTTTTATTGAAATGAAGCCTAATATTGATATTAATCAAAATTAATCCTTGAAAATAATCATATTCTAATTTAAATTAATTTCTGATTATTTTTAGATTAATTTTAATTGTTACCAATTAATAATCACAAATTACGATTATTTTTGAAAATTAATATAATTGATTACACGGTGTGACAAAATTCCAAAAAATCAATACACTAATTGCGAGACCTAGTGAAGTTGGTAGGTAGGTCCATACAAATTTCAAAAATTTAAATTTTTTGTTCATGAACAATTTAATTTTTGTTACAAATTTTTAAATTTATTTTTGTGTTCACCAACAAATAAAACTATGTATAAATTTTGAAAATTGTGTGGAAATGATGTGGATTTTTTTATTAAAAGTTGGTTTACTTGAGATCCCCTCATTTTCCCATTCTGAATTTTGTATATATTGATAAGTAAACTATAAGCAATCTTATGTGAAGGAATAAAGAAAATGGAAGGTACCTTTTTTTGAAATATTCTTGACTAAAGGACGTTGTTTGATGTTATCATCCTTACGTTAAAAGTGTAATATTTTAAATAAAATCTTGACGAACTACAAGACAGGCTTTAATTGGACAATAGTTTAGAAAATATACGGTGTCATATTTAATGCTTGTTGAAAAAATCCTAAAAAATAGGAACTTTGAACCTCGATAAAATCTGAAACTTATATTTTTAAAATTTAGACGGGCTGTATTATTATTTACTTCAAAATTTAATTTAAGTAATCTTTGAATACAAAGCAAATAAAATTATTCGACACCGGTTTTTAAAGAGTGTAAAAACCGGATTATTCGATATTCGAAAAATCAACATTTAGAAAAAACCGACACTGGTAAAACATAAAAACCGGTTGAAAACCCGAGTCGATCACCCTATAATCAACCCATTGGTATAATTCGTGGGTATGGGACGAATATATTTGTGTGTCAGCACAAATCCAATATACCCTGGATTTGTGCTGACTTTTGTACACCACTAAAGTGGTGTAGGGTATAAAAAGGTACTTCTTTAAGGATTATGCCGTTAAAAATACAATAACTAAAACACAGTACGAGTACTGCCGAATATAGTACGTCTGATAAGCCAAGTTGTACTTACGATGTCGCCTTCAATAAAGTCGTTTCAGCAAGCCCTTCATTAAATTTTGTTGTAGATGCATTTGTATTGTTTATAATTTCGGACGTTTACTGATAAGAGACTGTAGGGTTATCACGTACATATCGTTTATTTACTGCAAGACTGACATAATTCAATATATACATCGCATCTAGAAAAACGGCTTTGAATTTTTAAAGAACATTTAAACAAATCATGGGATTTGAATATTTAAATATTAGAAGCTAATATGTTTCTTATCTAAATTTAAACTAAATTTCGACACATCAAAAATAATATAAAGTTCTGAAAATAGTCAGAAATATAAGAAAGACTTAAAAACGGCGAATATTTTGTGGTACCGAAAAACCCCGAATTATGAGATATGGCAGTTTTATAGTAAATTAATGATATGTACATGTATAATTTTAAAATGAGAGAGAAAGCAAAACAATCACAATCCAGTTTTTAATTTTCTTAAAGCTACACACAATATCCATTGGTTCAGTTGAAATATAAAATATTTAACATTTAATAATAAAATAATAAAAAATAATATTAAATAAAGAAAAAATAGTGAAATAAAAAATGTTAAGCAGTAATGCTATTCTAACAGATTGGGATGGTCAAATAAACGTTCTCGAACGTCAAGATCTTCCTTTGTTATACAGAGGTGCCGCTAGAGAAAACCAAGAGGATTCTCTTAATAATTTACAAACAAATTCCAAGCACTTAGGAAATATATCTCGAGAAAATAGTATTGAAAAACAACGAAACATACACAAAACAATTTCTACCGACAATCATAATAATATTGTAGATGATAGAGATGCTAGCATTTACGGAGCCATTTCCGAATCACTAACAGGAAGACATGAATGTCACGATAATATAAGTCGAGCCTCTTCCTCAAGATTTGGATCAATTTATCAACAAGTAGCTGCTGGTTCTTCAATGTTAGCAGATAGTATTACAGAAATTATGGTAAAACGAACATGTAATGTTTTTAATGCGTTTTTTTTGGAATTTTTTGATAGGTTCTACAATAATATTCCAGTAAAAATTGAAGCTTATATGCAAGCAGGTTTGTAAGGGAACGAAGCTATTTTCTCCCTTACAAACCTGCTTCGATAAGGCATGATTTTTATATAGCGAATTCCCACTTGGAAGCATTACTTTTTAAAAAATGAAGCGTGTTTTCACTCATTACATTCAGCTTTGAGTAACAGCTATAATTAAGCACTTATTTCATGTTTCTATGGCATTACTTCTTTCATTGTTTACAAAAAGCTCTTCCCTAATGCTTTTCCAGAAGACGTGAATTCATAGCTGATGTGAAGCTATTACAGTATTGCTTATATGAAACCCTTTCTTCATGGGATTCTACACTCAATGGTATTTCTGAATGTACACTATTTAAAATATGTAAAATGGCTGATGTACTTGCCACAGATGGGCGATATTTTATATACCATTCCCTTATATATTCTCTTAATGTCCCGTTTTTATCATCAGCTATTACATCTACTTCTGAATTCTCAAAATTAGAAACAATTTCGATATTTATAATTTCTTCGGGACTATTTTCTGTTGCCTTCAAGAGATTAAATACATTTTTATTTGCCTCTTTTCTTTTTAATTTATAAAATTATCTTTTTCCAACCACTTTCGGCATATTATTTAACAACAACAAAACATAAACAAAACAACACAAACTGTACATGGACAAAAGCAGAAGTATTAAAAAACAGAAACAAGAAAAACCAAAAGCAAATAATTGAAAATATTTCGTACAAAAAATTATTTAAATTCTGTTCATACACTATAATAAACACACACTTTAATAAATTTTAAAAAAGATATTTCTTACATTGAAAATGTATTAATTAATTAAATCACTTTATAGATTTATATTTATATAAAATCTTTTTATATTTTCTATATAAGATTTTTTTTACACTTTTATTCACAACTTATGCAACTCGATGACTAAACATTTTAGATTATGTAATTTAAAATGTGTTTTTTGTCGGAAAAGACTCGGTAAAACTGCCGATATCAATAGTCTTTGCAATACAACCTGCTTCCTTGTAAGGGACAAGAGTAAGCTTAAATATTATTTAAATACTTCACGTACAACCTGCTTCTCTGTAAGGGATAGTAGTAAGCTTTTAATTTTTTTCAGCTTACATTTTAAAATTACTCCTATCAATGGTATTCTCTTATTTCCTGCTTCTAAGTAAGGCTTAATAGTAAGCGAATACAGATGCAGTTAGGTCCCTTTTTAGCTTCTTAAAGTCTAAAAATTATTTTACTGGGATACTATGTACGTACAGTAGGGTGTCCCGAGGACCACTTTTTAGGACGAATACCTCAAAAACGATGCGTTTCAATGTACAAAACACGAGAAAAATAAAAAACATTTTTTTGAAAAGGTCCACAGTTCCCTAACTGCGATTGAAAATCTTGATCTCAGTACAATATGTTCACAAAAATTTTTCTGCAATAGAGTAGCAATAGAAATCGTTGCTACTAGTTGATCGTTCTATTGATACCAAATTATTGAGGTAGCAATAGAATAAAACAAAAAAATTCGACAGCCAAAGATAAAGTAACATATAAACATACAATAAAAGGATCAGTATACTAAAGGCATTATTCTAAAGACACAAGTAGATCCAGCCGCATTGCAAAATGATCTTCATTCGAAGGATTTGTAAAATGTCCTCATAAGAAATTTGATATATGTGAATGAATCTATTAAAAAGTCCTCCTGGAATATTTCTTGTGAAAAGGCAATGAGAAATGAGTATCGTACCTTTATAATATGTAAATATGTCTTTAGAAGACCCAAGAATCGAAGTCCTAACATTTTTTCCCGCTGCTTGTGCCTTTTGTTCAGAATGTCGTATTTTTTTTATTTTTCGTGTTTTAATAAAATTTTTATTTTCTATGCTACCAAAATTGCTACTTCATTTAGGTAGCAGTTGCTACCAAACTTTTGATAGTTGAAAAATATAATTTAATTTATTGGTACTTTAGGAAAATATTTACTGCTACTATTTGAAGTATTCAACTGCTACATTTAAACATTTTAGACTGTACTACTGCTATTAAAATTTTTATTTTTTGCTACTTCTATAACTACTGCTACAAAAATCTAAAGGTAGCAGTAGTAATAATAAATGCTTTGCTACTAGCTTTGGAACATTACTACTGCTACTTGTACACAGAGGCAAAAATACATATCCATTGTCAAGTATATACAGTGGCGAGCATATCTGGATACATATCAACCAAGTTTATGTTAAAAACCCAATAAAATCCAGAAAATATTAAAAAAAATTAGATATTTGTTTTAAAATAAGCAATAGAAGAATAAGAAAATAAAACAATAGAAAATTTTCGAATATCATGAATTCCATGAGAAATCAAATAAGAATTGACCGATGGTCTTCAGATTTCTTTAATTTTTTGTAACACATAAGACATATCAACGTTAAATTCTTAAACATTTTAAGAAACGCGATTTTTATGGCGATTTTAATTTGTTCGAAAACTACAAAAAATCAAAAAGGTATAAAACTTTGAACCTTTATATCTTTATGAGTTCATATCGGATTTTATATTATCCAATATTTATCCAATAAGACTTAAAAATGCCATAAAACCCATAATATAAAGGAAAAATAATTAAGTTTTCAATTTAAAATATTCAGTAAAACAATATAAAAAGAAAACAAAATTTAATTCATGATAATTAAATATTAATCTATAAAACTTTATTATAAATATTAAAACAGTCGAAGTATCCAGTGTTGCACGTTTTAATAAAATCTTGATTTTTAATATTTTGTGCAAAGTCCTTTTGCTTTTATGGCACTGGTGCACTCTCGAATTGCGCAAGACGTTTTTTTTAACAAAGCCCATAAATTTTCAATTGGATTGATTTCCAGGCATTGAGTTGGCCATTGCATCGTTTGAAAATTCTGCGCTGAAAGCCAATTCTTTAGATTTTTGCTGTATGCTTCGAATCCCCATTCTGTTGGAGTATAACCTCGACTCTGGATATGCACATTCTTCCACAAAATCTGTAATATTGGATTGAAAATGCTCAAATAATCCTCCCTTTTCATTATAGCATCTAATTTTACTAAAGAACCGAGAATCTACCAAGTGAAACAAGCCCACACCATCAGACTACCACCTCCATGAACACAGAAAAACTGACAATTTTTCACCTCATGTCTTCCAAATTCCTTCATATTATCAATATATGTTCTTGAAGTAGAAAATAAAACAACTCTGTTGTTTATTTTCAAAAAGTTCAAGAAACGCGATTTTTATGGCGATTTTAATTTGTTCGAAAACTACAAAAAATAAAAAAGGTATAAAACTTTGAACCTTTATATCTTTATGAGTTCATATCGGATTTTGTTGATTTAGAATCCAATCTATTACTGTGGATGAGCTCTTTCATTCTAATATAATTTTTATATAGTTTAAGATAGTGCATTATTTATGGAAATGCACTTTTTGAATGCATTTTTGAAATCGTTCTCCCTATTTAAAATTTTTTGAAAGTGCATAAGTCGATTATTTGAAGCTTTTTATGTAATATATAAAAATATTTTTTTGTGACATCCATTACATCCATTTTTTCGATTTTTTAAAATGTTTTATATTGGAAAAGTTTTAAATTTTATTGATATTTTAAGAAATTAACAGATTTTAAAACTACTTAAAATACATTACTGATCAGAATTGGAATGCAAATATTTAAATTCGATTACCACTAATGTACACTTTCATAAAAATTTTTGATGCAAGTGCACCTTGGGTGCGTTTTACAAATTGTTCTCCCTGTTGAAAGTATTTTAAAATATCATAAATCAAATCTTGCTATTTTCTATATTGTATAAGATTTTTTTTATTAAACGAATATGCAATCATAATTTTTCGCGATATTTTGAAAATTATTATTTATTAGTTAAAGTTAGTTCAAATGAATTTATCAATAATGCACTTAAAAGATAAGTTAAACATGGAGTAAAATGTAGAAAATGCACCCAATATGCATTTGCAATAAAAATGCATTTATCTTAACAAATATTATTTAGAAATGCATTTTTATGAAAGTGTACATTAGTTGTAATTGAATTTGAATGTTTGCATCCCAATTGTGATCAGTAATGTATTTTAAGCAGTTTTAAATTCTGTTAAATGCATAAAATATAAATAAAATTTAAAAATTTTTCAATATAAAACGTTTAAAAAAATCGGCAAAAATAGATGTAATGAACGTCACAACAAAATATTTTTTATATTTTGCATAAAAAGCTTCAAATAATCGACTTATGCACTTTTAAAAAATTTTAAATAGGGAGAACGATTTCAAAAATGCATTCAAAAAGTGCATTTCCATAAATAATCTTAAACTTTTTAATATATAAACATTATATTAGAATGAAAGAGCTCATCCACAGTAATAGATTGGGTTCTAAATCAACAAAATCCGATATGAACTCATAAAGATATAAAGGTTCAAAGTTTTATACCTTTTTGATTTTTTGTAGTTTTCGAACAAATTACAATCGCCATAAAAATCGGTCAATTCTTATTTGATTTCTCATGGAATTCATGATATTCGCAAATTTTCTATTGTTTTATTTTCTTATTCTTCTATTGCTTATTTTAAAACAAATATCTAATTTTTTTTTTTAATATTTTCTGGATTTTATTGGGTTTTTAACATAAACTTGGTTGATATGTATCCAGTTATTGAAAAATTTTGTGTCAATTTGGTACCAGGCGTGTATATGTATTTTTGCCTCTGTGTACAAGTAGCAGTAGTAATGTTCCAAAGCTAGTAGTAAAGCATTTATTATTACTACTGCTACCTTTAGATTTTGGTAGCAGTAGTTATAGAAGTAGCAAAAAATAAAAATTTGAATAGCAGTAGTACAGTCTAAAATGTTTAAATG